ATGCAATAAAAAAGATCAGCATATTTTCATTTGAATAAGAAAAGCCACAAACTGCGTTCAAAAGCAAAATTCCAGTATTTGCAGGATTTATTTATTTGCCAAACAAAAATCAAATTCTCATTTCGAGTGATCTTATATTGTATTGGACAAAAAGTATTCGGCGATTAAAACAAAAATTCTAAATTTAAATAACAAAGAGTTTTTTAACAGAAATATTGCAACCTTTCTGAAATTTCTCGTTTTCTCATTTTTTGATAGGAATCAAGCATTGTAAGTCATAAACTTCTGTGGCTATATCTGTGAAAAACCTGTTAAAAGTTTTTTTAACAATTCGCTTCTAAGGCTCATTTCATGCCTACAAGAGTTTAGAACAATTGTTTTAGAACAAATTATAGTTTGACGGTTCACTGACAGGACTACAGTCGTAAAGTGTATGTTTGATAAATTATCGGTTAAGGCCTCGTAGGTTTTGTTATATAACAAAAGCTATATGTGTCAAATGGTTGTGGATTCTAAAATATGGACAAATTCAAATTTATTTTATTTTTGAAAATGAAAGTCATTTCAACTAAAGAGGAGAAACGACGTTTTCTAGTAAAATAGCCAGACAAGGAATAGAGATATTTTCGGCAAAAAAATCAATAATCCAAATGATTTTTTACAAATAACAAAATATAAGTGGAAAAATACAGTGAACTATAAAAAATTGAAGTTATCATGGTCAAGCTACAACTTATAAAGAACGATGATCTTCATTAGGAGGTTTAGGCTTCAATTGGCAAAAACTACAACTGTTTTGATAGGTCACTAGTTGACAGATACGCATAAATAAAAATTGGGCTCCCTTTTCAAACAAAATTACTAAATCCACAGGGAGGGCGAGCAAAACATAAAAAATATAGAGAGATATAATTGCATATTTCTTGTATAAATACTTAGGGCTATCTTGATTAAAGCAATACACTATAGAAACTAATGAAGTAATAAGTCTGAAGGACATTGCAAATATTTAAAAACAAAATTTTCTTTATCAGATATGTAGGTTGGCTCAAACAATAATGCTTTTTTTTAGGACATAGCACTTCAGTTTTTTGTTCTATGTTAATGTTAAACTTTCTTTTAATGTTAACTCACAAATAAATTAATAAAAATAATGTTTTTATCGTATTATAGATTTGTAGTAACAAATCGTCACTGGTATGTTATTTACATAGAAAAGGAATCTCTCCCAAAATCAACCGACAAAATATATATCAAATTAAGTTGACAACTTCAACTTAACCATATCTAATTAAAAAATTTGAATTACGTGAGAGCACTTATGCATAAATACAAACTGTTAAATTTTTTTTAAAAAAACAGTCAAATTTTTACTAAAATATGTTATGAATATGCAATAAAAATTTTATATATCTTTAAAATTTGAGAGCAATTATCAATGTTTTGATTAAAACTAAAAACAGTTATAAAAAAGTGAGATTGGTTTCATATTTTCATTCTGTTAACAATTTAGTTGTTGAATGCATATTAAATGCTTGATGTGACACCCCACAATTTCAAAAAAGTTGTATACATGATGGGATTCAGTTAAAAGTTCATTAGTATATTGTAAACATAATGTAAACCAAGTAAATATTTTATATGCATACCGAAAATTGTAGACTTATAGTTGACTGCTCCGCGTTCGCCATGGTTGAGGGTATCTAGCACGCGAGCAATGTATTTACTTGGTGGTTATATTAAGCTGAATGCAGAATTTAAGTTAAATGCAAAAGTCATAGAAGTAATTTTTTATTAAGACTTTAGTTCAAAATTATAAATTCTCTAAAGTTTTGTATTGTAACACAATAAACCTATAGATTCTTGAAACTAACCTATCCAAAATTGAGGAAATTGTGCCTTTATTTTAAGTATCACAAAATGGATATCAGCAAATCTTCCTTTTCTCGCTCGAATTCTTTTAAACAAAACCAAAGAATTGTTGAGATGGCCATCAATTTTGTTAAATAGTCTCGGTGGTTTTATAGTTTTGTACTTGGTAACAGTTTAAGTAGCAATATCTCTATAAATATTAGAGTTTCTAACGTTCCAGCCAATTTTAAATACCTGTTTAGAGTGATCTTTTGAAATATTTATAATTCGTCAAGGATGGATTTAGCTTCCTAAATGAAAGGTATTTAACTATACAGCGATGATGGCTTGATGATTAGCTTATATATAAGCATTCTATTTCTGTGGTACAGCTTTTTGCTTGTGAAAAGAAGATGAAACTAATTTACAGTTTCTTTACAAATCGCGTTCTTTCTTATGATATGGTGTTTCCAAATCAAGTGTTGTGTAGAGTCGGACCCAGGTAATTAATTATATCAATCCACTCAATTCTGGCATTAATATAAGAATTTTCTTTTACATATGCAATTTTAACCTGTGCTACACTCTAAACAAAATGAATGTATCTGAATTCACGAAGGGTGATTTCAAAGGATTTTCAGTGCAGAAGATGAGACTTCTCATTAAATTTTTTATAACCGTTTGATTATGATCATGAGCAGCACAAGTATACTGGACTGTATTCATGCCTAAGAGAGAGAGATACATATTATATATTAAGATGCTTATTTACGCCAAAACAAACAGATGCTTTGTTTGATCTTAAGAGCTTAATGAATAAAGAGATTCATACTTCATTTAAAGTGCAGCTGTTTACACTATTGCCCCCAGTGATTCTATCCACTGGAAGGTCAAACCCCTGTAATATTTTATTCTATTTTATTATAATTTATAGATAATAAAAAATGTTCTCTCTTGTTAAGAAAGACGATGCACCAATATATAATTGTTAATAAAAGGGGGCGATTTATAACCTCAATTCGTTGAATGCGTCAATGTCACAACAAAAACAAAAGCATTAAAGCATAAAAAAAATGTTTGAAAATATATTTGTGGTCCCAAATCCCTTTTTTTGGATTGTAAGTGTTGCGCGTAATTGCACTATTTATAAAAATATTTTTATTTAATTGTTTGTAGTTTTAACTGCTCTATGAGTACTCCATTGTTTGGGTAAATGAAAAGCGCATTACTATCAACTTTATTTAAAAAGTTTTGTTTATGAAAACCACGGTCAACAATAAAATAATTTTTTATCTTCTCCAACTATTTTCAATCGTAATTTTATTTAAGCGGATGTCATTCACTCGGCTGTGTACACTTTATGTATTTATAATCATGATAATGAAATTGTACAATGTAAAAAAGTGGCAGCATTTAGAAAATTAACCAAGCGTTAAGTAAATTTCAAATGAAGGAAAAATAAAAAAAAACTACAAATAAAATTTATTGCTAACGAAAACATTTCAAAGTTTTTCTAACAATAAAAAAAGTAACAATAATATTTTTATTGTAAATGCAAAATGATTTATCTTATATACTTTCTTTTTATTAATAAATTATATTTGCAAATTCAAAATCCTTGCAAAAATAAATCCTTTAAGTTTAAAGTTCGTTTTTAGTAATCAAAGGTTCTTTTTCAAACACGCTTCTTTCTCTACATTTCCATGGGTTTCCCCTTGTAGAGCTCAACGGCTAATTGGTGTCAAAATTCAAATAACAACACATTTACCCATTTTAATTGGTATCACATTAATCTCTCAAACAGCAACTTCATAAAGATAGATACTTTGACTTTGTGCTCTCATAGTAGTAAGGAGCAAACTCTATGCCGCATCAAATTACAGAAATTGTGTAGCTACTAATTTTACTCGATTTATTAAATATTCAGTTTGGGATGTGGCA